TGATCAAAATATAATAAAGGAAAAAAAGAAATGTTATATCAGCATAAATATCTTACGCTTGAATCCAACGTATATGCACGACCCAATGTTTAGTATATAATTTGTTCCTTCTGTTAACATAAAGTCTGGACAAGTTTCATGTCCTGCTGTACTATCATTTCTTGTCATGTCAAGACGAATCTCTGTAGAACCTTGTTCAGCTAGTTCTTGTATATACTTTAAACCTGAGAAAATATATCGAATGTAAATATAAATATTTAGAACTTCACCAAGATATTTAGTAGAATTCAGCCTTCAACATATCAAACTACAAAATTACAAACCCTTACAATCATTATAACCTTGCGTTCTATTTAGGACATTTAAACCTGGCAGGTTGCCTAATGAATTGAACTTCCACAATTTATGTTTATCAATATACTTCAACAACATATGTCTATCTGACTTTTATTCACTGCGGATGAAAGGAATCCATCATATGTTAGTGTGGAAATATCGTTATTTATACGAGTATTAAAACCAAGCAATATACTCAGTATGCCTGAAAATTGAAATAAAATGCAATTTATATGACGTCTATTTGGCACTATCTGACTGGTTATTCGTACTGAACAAATATATCACATCAGACTTCAACAACTTAATATGTTTATCAATAAACCTCAACAACTTATGTTTATCAAAACACTTCAACAACATATGTCTATCAATTGACTTCAAAAACTTAATATGTTTACCAATACATTACGGTCAACAAGAAAAATTCTAAGTGTATTCGCTAATTAAACTTTTTGTTTACTGTAAGCAAAATATTTGTTCCATGGTAACGAAACCCATCTTCATGTTACGCTTGCAACAAATGCCTTGCGTGTTATTTCATTGCGGCCTAAATTCTTTAGGGATTCTTATTTTCTCTATTGTACCTAAGGTGACTACGCAATAACTGTACTGCATTGTTTTGAAATGCCAATGCAATAAGGAATGAATTATTTTTCCATACCTAGCCATAACTCTCCATCAACGTTCCCAAAGCCATTCTCATACTCAGTAAAGTTGCGATAAAAGTCCACTGACCCGTCTATTCGCCTATGAAATAGCTAGAATAAACGCAAACAGGTTGAGAGCTTACGAATTATGTTCATAATTATTACTTAAAATTATTCTAAGTGTGTGTCTGTTTAACGTCAGTTTTATATAGATAAGGGTTATATTTCACTTCAAAAGAAAAGATGGACAAAAGTCCTTTATCTTTAATTTGCGGTTAGGAACAGACCTTCTGTAATTCTAGTCATTTATCTGCCCTTTACAATTGACTTATTGACTTCGATACGTGGTTGTACACTTTATTACATGCTTTTCTGTAGATACTGAAATCATTTCACTGTGAAATGATAAAATATAATATACCAAGCAGCCAGACTGTAATTCATTGCGGATGAAAGGTATCCATCATATGTTAGTGTGGAAATATCGTTATTAATACGAGCATTAAAACCAAGCAATATACTCTGTGGACTTTTATAGAGAAAGTATACCTGGAAATTGGAATAAAATGCAGTTTGATATGACGTCTATTTGACACTATTTGATTGGTTATTCGTACTGAACAAAATATATCACTTCAGGAGTTAAATGAGTGTTATCATATGAGTATGTGAACCAGGAAAGAACAATTTGCTAATCAAACATTGGAATATAAGAATCTACATACCGTCCAACCACCGCCTTCGGTTTCCATGTCACAATTCACTGTCAGAATCTTCCCAGATTTCCATAGTTCTATCTCATATTGTCCACTTTTCGCCTTTTCGTCCTTATCAAGGACTTCTTTACAATCACTTGGTACTAGGCAAAGATCAAAACAGTATTTGTAACAAGAATGAATGATTCATGCAAGTGTTTTTACAATTAATTCCATAAATTGTGTAAATAAAAACATCAAAAGTGACTTTTATCTATTATACACTTTTGTCATAATGTTTATACATGGTTGTAAATCTTACCATACCTAAGGTCTTTTTATGACGTAATATCGACCTCGGCACAAAAATCAAATTGCAATTTTCCAGGGAGGTAATGTAACAGTGAAATCATTCTTATTTTCTATGACAAGTATTGCGACATTGCCATTTTTTTCTATACCCATGTTCCTTTCTACAGTATAAAACTTTTTAGTAAATGTTTAGTTCTATGCATGATGCAAATTGCAAACTTTACATGTAAGTTAGAAAACAAAGTTGAAGGTAGAGTTAGGGAGTAGTCAAAAATCAGAAATTTTGCTTAAAATTGAAGAACTGAAGATGTAATTAAGATTTTCTTAAACTCACCTCCGAATAGAAAATATGTCATCAAAGACTATCATTTCATTTCGAAACGATAATGAAAACAATATCAGTAGAAATTTTGCTTAAATAAGCCAATAAAGGGAAGAAAGTTATCATCTAATAATGTTGTTTTATTTTTTACAAAAGTTATAATATTCTAAAAAATAATATACCGTTTGTAAGATCTGTACTAATTCTAAAGTAATCATAGTGGCAATGTACCTGCCTGTTTTTCATTATTTACTATTGGGAAAAACAAAATCCATAGCTTGATTAAATAAAAGAATTAACTGTCTGAAAGACATTATCCCATATATCCTCTATATATATTCTGTTTATATATAAGAACATTTAGATAATAAAATATTTATTTATTTGAATAATCATTTTAAGTGCCAAGGGAAATGTTTTGAAAGACGATCTCGCAAGTAAGACAACTTTTATTCTGACGTCATGGCTAATTTAGAAAAAGTATAAAGAAAAGAAAAAAACAGCATTATTTAAATACGTTACATTTTTCTTTCGTGCACGTTGCAGACTGCCATTGTCCCGAAGCCTCACATTTCACCTCTTGTTGACTAGGAACATATCCTTCGTCACATTTTACTTGAGCTACGTCGAGAAACTTGTTTTCGTCAGGAGTTATAGTCTGTATTTCACCATTTCCAATTTTCTGATCAAAAGCACAGGCTGGAAATAATAATAATAATAATGTATTGTCTAAACAATAATTAATACTTTACAAATAAAATGCCAATTTCTGAATGATCATTTTTGAAAATGTAACGTTTAATTATAAATCGTGATCAAGTATCCTATTTTATATCTATGTAAACATAGTTGAGTTCCTTCAATACGTAAACGTATCAGTCGGGCGGATTTAAGAAGAGTCCTTTATCTACTATAAAAAAAAACTTTTGTACATGTCTTCAAGGACTATACGTTTTACAACATGACATCTATCAAACAAAATCTATTGCGTAAATATTTCTTGGAAAATTATACAACATTTAATTCAATAACAACTAATAGTATAAAAATGAAAGTGTTTTTACATACTTATGTCTTTGCACACATGTGAAGCACCATTTTGGTAACATCTTTGGTTCGCTTTACACGGCCTTGAGCCACAACTTCCAACCATTCTCTATTAAAAGTATGTATGTATTGTTGAATTACAAGAACTATTAAATGTGTATTTTCTGAATGAGACACGATTAGGTAAGCTTATGATTTTTCTTATGATTTTATTTTATTGGCAATGAGTGAAAGAGAAACTTCTGAGATGATTCCTCGAAATTTTATCATTTGCACAATAAAATGTAAGTTATGAAAATATCATTACCATTACAAGTATGAGAAAAAATGCAGATGTCATTATACATCTCAAATGTAAGAGAGGTATAAAATGTTGTATCATTTCCGTTTCCAACAGTTGTACATATCGTATCAATTAATAAATTGAGATACTTACGCTAGGCCATTCGCTGATATCAGAGAATATAGAGCCTCGCTTTGTTTCAAACTCCGACGGATCAACGGACGACTGGTCAACATCGTTTAATTTACACACGTGCTCGTTTCTGTCAAAGTCGAACGATTTACAGACGGACATTGACATACAGGTTCGCGCACAATCGTGATGGTTTTTATCATTAACTTCTAACACGGAATGACCGATCAAGGCTTTATTAAGATTGTCCTTGCTTATTTCAAATGAACTGCATTTGTTTGAGTAAACTATTCCGAATAAGACAGCGTTAATTATTATAATTCCAGCAGTCAAAGCCATCGTATTAAAAGTAAAATATTTTTGTTATTTGCCACAGCTATATAAAATGAAATCAAACAACGACCGTATCTGAAAGCGCAGAAAAATCCCGTCTCTATGGTATCGTTCATGTGCGCTATATTTACGGGTAAGGCTGGTTAACATCAAATGCGTGAAACATGCCCTTGTTATTGATCATAGGTGAATCGTCCAATCAAAATACAATCGTATGTTTCGTGTGTTTATAATTCATTAAATGCATAACAACCAAGTATTTGGTTTGGTTTACATCCCCAGAATGTTCGGAAATTTTTCTATCTTGAAGCATTTATATATAACCGTGAATAAAACCTAAAAACGATTGTAACGAAGTATTTTGACACCCACTTATGACAATCGGTCATTACATTTAAAACAACATTGACTTCCCGTTGACTAACATTCTTAAATATTATGACCTCCTCACACAACGAATGACATCGCCAAGGTAGCCATTATGTACATTAACGAGATGTCAATTAAGGTTTGTTTTAAAAAATGAATTGGGCAAAAATATTTCAAAATTGCTCAACAGAATGCATGCCTTATAGGTAAAATAGATTCTAGAGCTAACCATGATATATACACAACAACAACAACAGTAACGACAAGTACACAAATTGGAACCAAAATAATAAGGACACACGGAAACCAATGAGAGACATGTAGGGACATTTCAACTTCATGAATTCTCGATTTCATTTTTCTAGCTCTTGTTTTGAACATTTTCAACTTTACGAATTCACATTTTGAAATTTTTGAATTCACGATTTCAACTTCATCAATTTATAAATTTAAAACAAATTAAACTTCGCGAATTTCACTTCACGATTTAAATTTAACGAATTCACTATTTCAACTTCACGATGTCAGGTTTGAACATCATGAACTCACGTTTTTAACGTCTAGAATTCACGTTTTCATCTTCACCAAATTATGATTTCATCTTCACTAATTCAAGATTTCATCTCCACGAATTCACGATTTCAACGTCATAAATTCAAAATTTCAATTTCACGAATTCACAATTTCAAGTTCTTGAATTCATAAATTTAAAACAACTTCACGAATTCAATTATACGAATTCAATTTAACGAATTCACGTTAGACAAGAGTTTGCTAATGCAAAATCAATTATAACAAGATCAAACGTATACAACTCGTATAATTAAAAAGAGAAACCAATCTTAATATTTTAAGCAAATCTGAGCCTCCTCAATTTCGGAAAAGAATTAAAGAACAATACTCTTTATCTCAGCCAACTGCAGAAATTCTTTCTTAACGATATTGATGACTTATTATTTTTTTCAAAAGTTAATATTGTTCAGATAATACACTTTGATCGATGGGGAACTCAGTGGTTATTATGACAAAGACCCTGATTGTAAAATAATTCTGTCAAAAATAAAAGAAGCGATCTATTCACAAAATGATAATAAAAGTAGTGGCACTGATAAACTGATCGCGGAAATATGCAAACACTCATTTCCATTTATTTCACAGATAATCATACATTATTAAACAGATTTTTTGAATCTTTAGAAATCCCAACATCCTTTGGGTCAGGAATCATAGTACCAATTTTCAAGGGAGGGGACATTAATGAAGCTAAAATACAGAGGGATAACACTTATAAATATATTCTCAAGTCTTATTAAATCGTCAACAAAATGGTGTACCAAATAAAACAAAATCATTGATAATCAATACATGCTATATGGATTCGAAGGGAATATCAACAGTCAACTGTATTTTTCTTCTACAAACTATTATTAATAAGACATTGTGCTCTCGTAAAATGCTTTACTGTGCATTCATAGATTTTAAAAAAATGTTTTGAGAGGTAAGGAAGATCATTTATATTTCAAAAACTTGTTGTTTTTGGATCAAACATCAGCGCAAAACAGGGAGATCACAGCTCTTGTCTATGATTTTTATTCTTTGTAAATTATATGTTTACCAGTTTTGACAATAATATTTGCGACATTTTTACTGTCGATGAAATAAAATTGTTCATACTCCTTCGCCGGAAACGCTACATTCATTACTAAATGAATTTCAGATTATTGCAATAGTTGGAATTTAAAGGTTAACACTAACAAAACAATAACCGTGATTTTCGAACAAGGTCGTCATACTACATAAACTTTTCTTTTTAATAGTATTCTACTTAAAGTAGTGACATCATTCAAATGTCTAGGAATTACTTTATTCAAAAACGGTCACATCAATAGTACACAAAAGAAGCTTGCTCAACATTCGTTATTTGCTGTACATAATTACTTTGTTGTTTTTAATCAAATAGACCTATCTACACAGGACAAATGTAAACTATTTTATTCTTTTGGTGAGATCAATTCTAAATTATGGCGCCGAAATAAGGTAACAACGAGGGTAAACATATTGAGCGCATACATAGTAAATTTTTAAGAACGACACTTAGCGTTAAAAATTAGCTAATCTATCTGGTCTCTACGTCAAACTGTGACGGTATCCGATGAGAATACAACGCAAAATTATAAGGATAAAATATTTTTTAAACATTTTGAGCTCAGAAGATAATTCATAAATAAGAAAAATGTTTAATGTAATGAAATAACATGTCAATAATAACATATCGTATAACGGAAAAAAATGGCCATATCATATAAAAAAAATACTTGACGAAATATGTTTTCCCTTTCTATGGCTATAGCAAAACGAAATCAATATATCATTTCAAATTGTAATGAATACATATTAGATAAATATAAACAAACTTGGTATTCAGAAATAAATAATTCAAGTAGATTACAAACACACAGTATGTATAAGTACGACCTCGAACTTGAAAAGTACTTAAATCGTGTAAGTATATATAAATACAGAGTACACCTGATGCAATTTCGGTTATCATTACATAATCTAGAAATTGCAAGTGGTAGGAACAATGGAGTTCCAATGTAAACAATGCAATATGCATGTCATCGAAAATGAATTCCATTTTTACTCGTTTGTCCAAGATATTATAACCTTCGTAAGAAATTTTTGAAACCATATTTTTGCCGTTGGCCTACACTTCAAAAAATGGAAACTTAAATGTCATCTTAAAATGAAAAAGAACTTAATAATTTGCCAAGCTATTTATATTTTTCACTTAAAGTAAGAAACACTGATTAACTTTTAATTGTGAGATCTACATAAAGACATACCGTAAATAACATAATTATTATTTGAATACATATTGTATGACTGTATTTGTATACATATTTATAGATTAGGCAAAAATAATTTATTTCAGCATTAAGTATATATCTCTTATTGTTAATGAAAAATCTCATGAAGATTTATTGTTAATAACTTCTCTGAAAACATTTTTTGTATTATCAACAATATTTTGTAAAAATGTCTTACTCTGTACCTATATATATATATTGGCTAAATGCTATATGTAGTTTAATGCCAAATAAAATATTGAATTTAATTAAATTTATCTTCACGAACTTCACGATCTCTTAATTAGCTCCAGCAGGTGAGAAGGTTTTGATCCCTGGTGATACTTTCAGTTTGCAACACCCGAGGCTAGTCTAAATCATTTTTCCTGTTTCGGCACCTTATGATTTAAATTCTATTGGTGTGCCGCAAAACCAGACCTAACATAAAAAGTATCAAATATCAATTCCTGGTCTGAAGATCTTTGTAACACGCCGGCCTTATGGCCGGCGTGTGATATGGTATACATGAGATAAAAATTCCACGGGGAAAATTGGCCTGTGTTTGACGTCATAAGGCCAAAACAAAATGATCTTGAGGATCTGGTAACATTCTGAAATACAAAAGGTTAGGTAGGTCGGAAAAACTTTTTCTTTTTTGATAAGTATTTTATTGAAATTTAACTGTATGTCAGAAACACTATAGGATGTTCCATTTTTTCAATAAAATAAAAAAGGTTAGGTGCGGAAATATAGGGTTGGTCAAGTTACTGGAACCACAAAACCATTTTGTTTTAGCCTAATCTCGCGTGAATGAGTCTCGCGAGAATTGTCATTTATTTTTTTATTTTTTGTTTTTTTGTTTTTTAATTATGAACGAATATCAGTATATACACGGGGGAGGAACTGTTACACGAAGGATGGAGTTCTTATGATAACCTGTCAAGGAGTTCTTGTGTTAACTGCCACGAAGTTCGGTGGAAAATAATTGTATATACTGCAAAACATTCGTCAAACATGGCAATTTTCATCTTTAAAATTCGAACTCCGTGACAGTTATCACAAGAACTCCATGACAAGTTATCATAAGAATGTCATCCCTCGTGTAACAGTTCCTCCCCCGTTATATAATTAAGCTATATACTCATAGACTTTAATATTAATATTGCAGTTTGAAGAAAGTACAGTATAAATACGTTACATTTATATATCTTGTACAAATATTAATGTATTATAAAGATCATTATGCCCCGATTTTCAGAGAAAACATACTACTATTTCAAAATATATTATCACAATTCAACAACATTGTCATTGTATAGCCATGTAGATTATCCTGCTTGATTATTTACGTGCAAACACGTGTTGTCATAACATTTTCACACCCACTTAAATCGACAATAATCACGCGTTAATCCCACGTGTATGATGTTTAATGGCGATGAAAGAAATGTACAGTATATTAAATTTTAAAAATCCAACTTTTGTCCTATGATCATTAAAGTTTGTGGGGAAGTTGATCATCATTCACAGATGACCCCTATTGATTTTAAAATCAGTAGGTCAAAGGTCACTCAGAGAATGTATGAAGGGGATATTTCGTGTTCTACGAACTTTTGTTCATGATATACACACATTGCAATTCTTGTGACCTCGTGTACATAACATTTTCATGTATGAACGCAACAACACGTAACTATGCAAGATCAAAGGAAGTTAGAATTCCTTTTCTCCTGCATTAGATTTGGGACTTACTTACGTTTTATACTGTTTACATATTTCACAAGTTGTTTAACTTCAATTACTGACTTTAACAAAAATTCTACTGCCGGCGTATAAATATTAACCTTGTATTTAAGATTTGAAAAACATATGTAGCTATATCTCATGCTAAAAGCTGAAAGTACATAGCTAACACGTGTTAAATAGGTTAACCCGGAAATTAAAGGTAATTTTTGATTTAATGTTATTTGTTTGTTTTTTTGTTGCTGTTTTTCTCATATATTATCTTATCTAAAAGTTCTGTAAATACATAAGAATTATATTTTATAATGTACATGCAGTATTATCATAAAATGGGTAATCAAGACAATATTTTATTACAGAACGTTAAAAAGGTTTAATCTAAATGAACATTGTTATATTGAGTAAATACAAACTGTAATGTCAGTGTGTAATTTTAAAATCTTTATCTACTGAATTGGTATTAATGATGTGCCTAGATTTCCAGATTGAAATGTGAGACAATTCATCAAATTGAAGATATATGATAATTATAAAAGAACAAAAAAATGGGACTGTTAAACTGGATGAACTAGTATTTAGATATTGTGATTTTACAATATATTGTAATTGCAATATTGCCCTTAACCTATTGTATGAAGAGTGAAACATGCCTTTAAAAGGATTAATCATCAACATATGATTACATACGTTATGTTAATTTGAAGATGACACATGCGGCTGTATTCGGATGTCTTCTGGCAACATCTTGGTCGTTTAATATCATAGACCTCAAATGGGAATTATACAACTCATCGTATGGCAAACACTATGATCCACGTTAAGGTAATATGTTCGATCTATATACATAAATATTGGAGTCAAAGGCGTCAAACTTAGGTTACCGAATGCAAATGGTTTCATCTTGTGAACAAGTATCAATGAAAGACACTTCGTATAATCTTCAGGCGGGTGTGTCATTTCGAATTCAGTTTATGTTGTAATATTTTAATTTCCATGTAAAACTAATAAATATGTTATTTGATACAACTTCATTCGCATCTGACTTCAGACTGGTGAATATGATTTTATCAATTTTCTTTAACGCGACCTGATGATCTATCAGAAGTATAATGTTTAGAAATTACGGACAGCGCATATTTCGGATAGAACGTTTCAAAAAAGATTATCAGTGTGTTTTAGTTGAATATATTTTTTTCTAACTGAAAATATTATTTATGATGATTATTATTATCTTTATAAAGCATTTACAGTCAAGTTGTATAACCAATTTAAATTGTCATAAAATTTAATGAAATATTTTGCTCGTGTTGATATTTAGACTGAGGACAGTGATGAGGTGAAAGACGTCAGTATCCGATGCACAAGCATGACATGAAAAAACTGCTGCAATATCGTTTTGGTAAGAAATATAACTTAAGACTATATTAATGAAAAAATAAATATTCTTGTATTACATAATGTTCTCGTTTTTGTAAATAATTACAGTGTAGCTAAATAAACAAACAGTTTGGTATATGTGGCTTATTTACGTTAAATGCTGATTAAAGTATCTTTCTCAAGTAAGTGGGACATTTTTTTAATTAAAACATGTTCAGAAAATGGTTAAAAGTACTTAGTCACTATCATATTTGTTTCTAAAGATCAGCTGTCAAAACAAATCTACAATGTATATAAACTAGGACACCAAGAAGTGTTTCTTCCTTTTCAACATTAATTTCTATTTTGAATGACAATACTTAATTAAGATATGAAAATGATTGAAATTTAAAGCTGACTTATTATTCCTTTCAACTCATGATGATTTTTCTTTATATGCAGCTATGTGATTTCATGGTTGAATCTTGAGTACTTGTCATGGCTCTTGATTTATTTTGGAGTGTTCACCATCAGATTAGTAACCAACTAGTGATACCAACAGACGTAGTTGAAAGGAAATGTCCATACACAGTCATGAAGTAGGCAATGGTAGAGACATAGCCGACCATTACAGATTTTTGATAAAATTAAAACTTATTAAAGCTCCATGGCTTATATAAACTGGCTGACAGAATAGTTGTATTCTGATAAATACTAAGGTTGAAGACACTTCAGTGTAAAATGTTAAACAAAATATCTGTTTTTGTTAGAAAAAATAACCTGTCATTTGTAACTTTGTATTAACTTTATTATATTCAATGATAATTTATCTTCTGCAAATGACTGTCTAAATCAGTTTCAATCAGCATCATCTAGTTTCAAAACAGTTAAGATAAATTTGTTATAAATATACTTGTTAGTAACAAGAATGGTAAAAATATAAATGTTCTGCATTTATATTTTTCTATCTTGATTGAGTTTTATTTCATACTATCGCCATGATCACTGCAATTGTAAAAGTAATATAATGTATGAACATTTGACTAATGTATCAGTTTTTTTTTTTAAGGAAGATAATTAAAGGTTCATTATATTCTGTTCTTTTCTGGTTAAAACTTTTAAACAGATATAAATATACCATTCTCATTAGTAAAGGGATACTTGAATACTTAAAAATCTAAAATACACAGTAACAGGATTTTGTTTTCATCTTGTGATATGGAAATTATATCGTATTTCATAGCGCTCGATGAAAATAAATCCTGTTTCTAAAGAACTTGAATATTCTCTTTTGTATTACTATTTCGAATTTATGAATAAATTATTTTATGTCAAATGACAAAAGTACGAATGAACAAAAAGGTACACCAATCTTTTTTCTATAATGACATGCCAACCTGAAACAGTGAAAAATCTGAACCAAACATCTAAAATAGACAATATTGACAGTGAAAAAGTACCTGATACTCTATTATTAATAATTAACGCTAGAACTTAAAACAGTATGGGATTAAAAGCTGAAATAGTTTAATGTACACTAATAATATTGAAAGTGGAATAGTACCTGATATTCTGTTATAAATAATTAGCATTGGAACTCTAAAGAGTATAGGGTTGAACGAGTTAATAATCATCTAAAATAGACTACCATTATTGACAGCGGAAAAGTACCAGACACTCTTTTATCAATAATTAACATTGGAACGTAAAAAAAGAGATTTAACAAACATCTATAATAGACTACTAATTTTGACATCAGAAAGGTACCAGATACTGTATTATCAATAATTAACATTGGAACATTAAAAAGTATGGTAAAAATTGATCATTATAAAATGAGAACTGGCACCTATTTAAATGGAAATAGCAATATTTCAAAGGCTTTTGTTAGTGTTACACAATGACTTTTTGTTATAGCCGCCAAGTGTTGAATAATTATTCAAAAATAATTTACCTATTCGGACAGAATGTGTCCCATGCTTTCATTATCATTTTTTTGGGGAAAATGTTGAATTTTCAAGGAACTCCACTTATGTCTAAAACACTTTTAATGCATATCGTTATTATATTTGTAAAAATGATCGTTCAGAAATGGGCCTTTGTAATGTAATCACGATAGTTTAGATAATACGTTTTTTTTCTTATTATTATTTCCAGCTTGTGATTTTGATCAGAAAATTGAAAATGGCAAAGTGCAAATTAGTGCACCTGGCGAAAACAAGTTCCTCGACGTAGCTTTAGTAAAATGTGACAAAGGGTATGGTCCCAGTCAACAAAACGTGAAATATGAGGCTTCGGGAAAATGGCAGCATGCAACGTGTACAAAATGTAACGTATTTAAATATCATTGTTCTTTTCTTATCTTAGTTTTTTTTTTCAAAATTAGCCATGACGGTGGAGTAAGAGTTGCCTTACTGGCGAGGAAATCTTTCAAAACATAAACTATGCATATAAACAGTAAAATAGAGGACAGATTGGATGATGACTCTCGGACAATATTTTTGTGTATTTATCAAGCTATTGATATTGTTGTTATTTTTATTTTGATATAGAGTATATTTGTTTATGTCAGTGTAAGATCGGAATATATTTCACCGAGTTAGCACCAAAAGGTATATTTCACGAGTGGTGCAGCCACGAGTGAAATATGAACTTTTGGTGTTCACGAGGTGAAATATATTTCGATCTTACATCAAACTAAGCAAATTTACTTTTTATTATATGCAAAGAATCGTTTAAAAAGACATTTTAACCTAGTACTAAATGAAATGGGCGCCAAATAATTATACAACTTGACGTCATTTACGACGTCACGTGATAAAGTAAGTTATTAGTACTATGAACGCTTGTATTTCACTGACTCAAATATTCAAACCAGTGAAATAATCACATTTAAAATAGTGAAATTATCAGTTTTAATTTCACTGTTATATTTCTATAAACCACCGAAAAGCATGTAATAAAATGAAATATAATATTTCAAAACAAGTAGGTACAGTGGCACTATAATTGCTTTAGAATTAAAATATTCATACATTATCTTTCAAACGGCAAATGAATAGATAAAGAGGCAAATGAATAGATCTAGATAGATAAAAATGAAATAAAATAATTAGATAATAATTATTTTCTTTCGTTTTTACCCTTTTTATACAATTTGAAACATATGTTATTGCTTCAGAATTTAATGAAAGTCTTTGATGACATTTTTTTTTCTGTTGTCTTTATCAAATGCTCAGTGTTAGAAAAAAAATTAATACAGCTTATACAGCTTCATATATCTACAAACTTGAGCAAGAAAGTCACTTATGTATTCCTACTCCATTACCTTATCTTCAAACTTTTTTAACAACTCACATGTAAATTTTGGAAGCAAATTTATATCAACCACTGCACATTTACTATATAGTTAATTTTCTGGAATATTCTGGCAATTATAAATAGCAAAATCATAACAAAGTCGCAATATTTATCAAAGAAAATAAAGAAAAATTGTAATAGGTATTAAACGCATCAACAAGCCAATGTCCGTCAAATTATAATGTTTGATTATGGCACTGTTTCTTATATTATTTCTCCGGAAATTTTCATCTAGTTATTTTTATTAAAGTCGGTGTTAATAGAACTGCGTTGAATGATTGCGCACAATAATCTCAGACCAGACATTTGGTAAATATCTTATCATGTCAAACATATCTTAGATTTGGCAAGATTTATCAAACATGTATAATTTATATCATGTCAAATATATATAAATTACATCAATTAGATATACGTCACGCTTTTTATAACTCGTTTTTTATTTACACTACTTATGGAATTATTGGTGACCAGACTTGTGTGAATCATTCCAACTTGTTACAAATAAGTATTTTGTTCTTTGCCTAGTACCAAGTGATTGTAAAGAAGCCCTCGATGTATTCCCTGGGGCAGAAAGTGGACAATATAAGATAGAACTATGGAAATCTGGGAAGATTCTGACTGTGAATTGTGACATGGAAACCGAAGGCGGAGGTTGGACGGTATGTAAATTCTTTTATTTAGATGTTTGATAAGCAAATTGTTCTTTCCTGGTTTACATACTCATGTAATAAATTGCTGAAATATATTTACTGTAAAAACATTTCCATCTTAACAATTGACTCATGATTCGTTTTTCTTTCTGTCTTTACGAACAATTTTTCAGTTGGTGCCAAATTGACTTCAATATCAATTTTTTTATATCAATTCTCAGCCGCACTATGGGGCCCATTAATAACAAAGAGATATATGTTTGTTTTTTCCGATATTACCACTTACTGATGATACATTCTTTTCATCAATATTCAAATACAGTCTGGCTGCTGGAAAAACTGTATCATTTCACTGTGAAATTATGAAATATGATTTCACTATCTACTGAAAGGCGTGTAATGTGTATAACCATATATTTAACTACAAAAGTTTCATTCAAAACAGCAAATCTAAGATTAAGGACTTAAGTCCATCTTTCACTTTGAAGTAACCTTTAACCCTTAGCTATATAAACTGACGTTAAACAGACACACATTTAAGTAATAATTATATACATAGTTTGTAAGCGCTCAACCTGTTTGGATTTCTTCTAGATATTTCATAGGCGAATGGACGGGTCAGTGATCATTTATCGCAATTTTACAGAATATGAGAATGGCTTTGGGAACCTTGGTGGTGAGTTGTACCTAGGTATGTAAGAAAAGCTTTGATTTCTTGTAGCATTGACATTTTAAAACTAAAGAAGTACATTCTTTAAAGTATTACATGTACTATATCGTATTGCGTAACATCTTACAGTACACAGGTAAAGCAGTGTCATTATTATCAGTCATGCTTTTAATCATTCACCAAGGGTACTACAAAATAAAATGGGCGCAATATTATGAAACACCTGATATTTGTTACAAGCATAATATGGAGATTATCCGTCATATACTGACTCAATCAAATCGAGTCACCAATGTTTATGTTTGTTTGGATAACTGCTCCCGAGGGATCACGCTTTCTCCAGATTGTATACATCACAACAGCTGGTGTCAAGTTCAGTGCGGCAGCTGTAAAAAATCCCCCTTACTTCACTTCATGTTTGTTATATTTTTCTGGTCCTTCGGGAGCAAAGATTCCAGCACTAACAAGAATTGCAAATTTAGCATCCCTCAATCCGGTGCTAGAAGACCCGAGGGATGTTCCACTTTTTCATTATCCATGATCTACAGACTCAGTCAAACCGAATTTGCAATTTTCATGTAATTTGGTTTTGTTATGCTTCCGATGGATCACCCTTTGTCAAGATATTTATAAACATACGTTGCTGAAGTGAGTGTGTTGTTGAACTATATTGATAAACACAAGTTGTTGAAGTGTTATGCATAAGACAAACCGAGTGAGATTTAATGTCTATAAATAAAACCTCGTGTTTCTATGATTTTAAATATCCTGTAACTCAATTTTTATGGTTTTATATCATAAACATAATGCTCAAATGAAGATTTATCAATATTTTAAGTTCAAAAAGCATTATTTTTTAAAGATAAAACCGAATTTAAATTTCAAAATAATAAAGCGATGTAATTTGGAATTTATTTTCTATAAAGTCAAAGTCAAATTGTTTAATGAGAAATGAATGCATATAATTTGATGATTACATATAATTTGGACAAATATTTGCAGTACATATTTTAAATATTTTTCGATGTTCGAAAATTGTTTTAGAAGCATAATTGTATATATATATTTCTCGTAAGTGTGGAAACAACCTTAATTAAAACATACAAGATCTTTAACAGGTGGTAATTTTGTTGTATGAAGTGTTGTTGAAGACTGATTTGTACTTCCATTTCATTTTGACAGGTTTAAAGTACATACAAGAACTAGCGGAATAAGGTTCTACTGAGGGTCGTCTTGACATGACGTCTGGTCGTGATAATACAACAGGACATGAAACTTGTCAAGACTTTAAGTTAACGGAAGAAACACAATATAAACTAAACATTGGGTCATGCACATGTATGTGAGACTTTTAGACCTGCTGATTACAACTTTCTTCAAATCTTATACTTGTTTTATACTTTCACTTGTTTTGTTGTATCTTAATTAAATCACAAAAGCTCCAATACAATACAAAGTAAGCGGTTGACAGTTACAGTATAAGGAAAACCCAATTAATTTGTTCAAACTTAGAATAAGACTTAACATAATTTGTAACAAATATTTGATTCGCATTTAAACAGATAGATTATACAGTTTTAATTTTTACATATTCCAAGCAAACAAATGAGAGCAAATTTGTGTGACATATATCACAATAAAAAGGAATAATATTATAAACGGATTGCCATTTTTTTATGTTTACAGCAGAATCTATTCTTGACTGAAATTTCAATGTTGCTGTATTTTGCCTGATATAATATACTAGTACGTGTTTCTATAATTGTATAACCTCCGTGATGAACCGAATGTGATGTGTTTTGAATGATTGTGGGGATAGTAACTCGTTGTTTATGAAAATTGGCCTTGTCAACATGCAAACTGTCTTGACGTAGTGTGACAATGACAGTGCTAGAACTAATTAATATTGTTGTTTCAGTCCTAGATGCAGACTCCAAATTTGCTTATAATAATCAAATGCCATTTTCAACTTACGACCGTGAACTTGACGTGCAATTTAATTGGAACTGCGCCGTAATAAGACATGGAGCCTGGTGGTATCACGCTTGTACTATTGTCAATCTAAATGGAAAATATTTGACGCCAGGTAGTAGTTCAGGTGAGGGACACTGGCATTATGAGTTTGATAACTATTTTACATCAAAAACGTCATCAATGATGATGAGAAGAAAATAAGATAAGTAATCAGATGCAGAGCTCATAAATTCGGACAATTTTCTGATCGTACTCAAATTGTGTAATTATTGGGGTTTGTTTTTGCATCAGAAATTGTATGACTTTTAGACGTCTTATTGAAGTCTGTGTAGGACATTGACATTGTCAGTTATCGGATTGATGACTTAGAATCACTGACAGCATATTATCACGTGACAGCATATTATCACGTGACAGCATATTATCACGTTTCAACAATAAATCACGTCACCGAATATAACTATGTTGCATCATAAAAAACGTGACATCATATAATCAGTTGAAATATTATCCTCACCAGACAATATTTCATCATTTTTCATCAGGTTATCACGTTACAAAACGAAATTTAAAAATGTTTTTATATTAAACTTTTTCTGTTTGTTTAAATGTATTTTTGTTCTGTTATAATTTTTTATAATCAAAATTATTTTCAATAAAAAGCAGAAGGCATTGTCATATTTTATATTCAACACATTTTGTTTTCTACAATAAATGTGTTTTATTGATAAACAAATGAAATAAGCTTTTGACGTGTAAAGAAGAAATTAAAAAAAAAATAAAAAAAGCAAAAAAAAGAAGAAGAAATTGGATTTTGGGAACATGAACCATACCCATGGAATTCGGAACTTCGGCGATGTTTTGGTAAATGCATGACTTCTGGAGTGATTAAATAAATGCAAACAATTACTGTCTAGGATGATATATTTAAACATTTAAGCATCGTAACATTGATGAAACCCCTTATTTTTTAAAGATTTAAGAATTTCGTATTTAATATTTTTATTTTGTAACTTTCAAATGGGATTTCTTTCCTGTGGATTAGGAAAACGATAAACTATAGTCAGTTGGGAATATGACCGAATATCGGCAACAAAAATCGCTGAAGCGTCTTAACCCATTGAGGGAGACCTGAAATACAGGAAAAAGTTAGTTTATCCTACCAGAGTTTATACCATATCTTATACATTAGACATTACCAGAGTTTATACCACATCTTATACATTAGACATTTATTATGCATTATTATTCATCAGTCCATTAAACGTATCTTGTTGCATGTTTTCACATATTAATATTGATTTTTAATATGGCTATATCGTTTATATCTAATATATATTATCATCGTTTATGATTGGTATTTGAAAATTGTAAAAACAATTGTATATTGTATGGTTCTACGTTAATCGCCAAGACCAATATACAATTGTATTGTATATAGTTCTATACCAAATGTGCTCACAGCTATATACTTTCATTGTTCATCATGTACAGGTATAGTGTGAAAAACTGTAAAACAATTGTCACTATATTTTATGCTTCTATGTTAAATACCTAGACAAATACATTCTTTCATGTTGAATAATTGTTGTGTGAAAATTGTAAAACAATTGTATATTATATGCTTCTACATTATATGCATAGAAAATATATACTTTCATCGTACATAATTGTTGTGTGTAAAACAATTGCATATCAATATATGTTTCTATATTATATACATAGAAAAATATATACTTTTATGGTGCATGGTGAAACTTGTAAAGCAATTGTATTTTGTATGGTTCTATATCAAATGTGTTGACAAATATATTCTTTCGTCGTTCATATGGTGTACAAGTATTGTGTGAAAACTGTAAATAAATTGTATATTGTATGCTTCTTCATTAAACAGAAAAAATTAAACTGTCTGTATCTGGATATGATTGTTGTGTGGGAACTAATATCGATTATCTATTACTTCTAGAAAATAAAACTGTTTAAAACGTATTGTCTGTGTTAACGTATTGACAAATGTTATTTGTCGAACTTGGGATTGCAATTTCCCGTCAATTTAATTTAGATGTGGTTAATAATAACTTATTAAGCAGGTAAATTCTGGAAACAAAGTGATCCCTCGGAAGCATTAATCACAACAAAATAACATAAGAATTGCAGACTCGGTTTGATTGAGTCTGTACATGAGGGATAATGAATAAGTGCAACATCCCTCACGCCCCCTAGCACCGGCTTGAGCGGTACTCAATTCTCAACACTTTATAGTGTTGGCATCAATGATCCCGAAGGACCAGAAAATATAACAACACTGAAGTGAAGTACGGGGCAACTTTTTACGGCTGCCACACGGCACTTGACACCTGCTTGACACACTCTTTCGTCTGCAAAAGTCATCGGACATTTGTATACTAGTATATTAACATGAGATAACCAGAATTTAAAGCACTGAAAATTCTAAATTTGTTCAGTTCTTCACAAAATATTAAGCTTCTACCAGACAGATAACAGACGAAGAAAAGCATTGTGTGGCC